GGGGGTTTAACTTAATTTCCTAGCAATTTCCTAGCAAAAAAAAATACTGATTTTTTTCATGCGAACAAAAAGTGTCAGAGAAGGCTTGGTCTTCAGGTGGTTACAAGAGTGAGTGATGTGTGGCATAAACTTCTAATGCTGGGCATAAAATGCCCCCACTCCCCAAAAAGACCCCTTTTTGGAAAATAGACACCCCAAACTATTTGCTGAGAGGCATGTTGAATCAATAGAAGAATTTATTTTTGTACCACAACTTTTTGGAAAATGACAATTTTTTTTTTTTTACACAAAATTGTCACTTATTATTAATATTATTATTATACAGGATTTATATAGCGCCAACAGTTTGCTCAGCGCTTTACAGTATACCGGAAGACAAAGAGCAACAATACAGTTCAATACAAGAGGGATAGGAGGGCCCTGATCATTGGAGCTTACAATCTAGGATGAACTGTTTCTTCCATGATGAAAATCAGCCATGGAGTATATCTGATGTGTATATCAGGGTGTGCTTCTTCCCCACATCAGATCTGGGATGTCCAGCAACATTCATCTAGAAGACATTTCCCGCACTCAAGGCACTAATACACCTCCAGGGTTGTGTGGGATCCCTTAGGTGCAGAAAGATGAGACCTCAGTAAATAACTATTCCCTCACTCAGATAATGTGGCTTCTCCCTATTGTGAGATCATTGATGTGCGCCTAGTGCAGATTTAAAGAAAAAACATTTCTCGCACTCAGGACAAGAATGCGACTTCTCCCCTGTGTGCAATCACGAATTACTGTAAAGACTGGACCTCTTTGAAAAACATTTCCAGAACTCAGGACAGAAATACAGCTTCTCTTTCTCTGTGAGATTTCAGACTTAAATGATTTATTGCTCACACATGCCATGGGTATATGTGGAATTACTCCCCAAAATACATTCTGCTACTTCTCCTGAGTATGGGGGTACAACGTGAGAGATGTTTTGGCAGTCTAGCCAAGTACAGGACCCCAAAATCCAATAAGCACCATCAGGCTTTTAAAGGGCTTCATTTCCTCATTAACTTCCTGACCACCTATCACAGTTTCGGAGGCCCTGAAATGCCAGGAAAGCACTAACCCCCCCCCCCCCACATAACCACTTTTTGGAAAGTAGACACCCCAAGGAATTTGATCAGAAGCATGGTGAGTATTTTCCAGATCTCGTTTGTTGCCACAAGTTTTTGAAAATTGAAGAAATAAAAACAAAAACATTCTTCTTTTTTTTATTTCAAAACCTTGTGAGAAAAAATGAGACCTGCAAAATACTCACCATGCCTCTTTTTAAATTCCTTGGGGTGTCTACTTTCCAAAAAGGGGTCATTTGGGGGGGGGGGGGTTTAGTGCTATGCTGACATTTCAGGGCCTTCGAAATTGTGATAGGTAGTGAGGAAGTGAAATGAGGAAGTTACGCATCTTCAGGCTTTCAAAGTGGTCATTGGATTTCAGGCTCCTGTATGTGGCTAGGCTCCCAAAAGGTCTCACACATGTGGTATCCCCATACTCGGTAGAAGTAGCAGAATGTATTTTAGAGTGTAATTCCACATTTACCCATGGCTTGTGTGAGAAATATATAATTTAAATGACAACTTTGTGTAAAAAAAAAAAAAAGTTTTTGTCATTTTCCAGAAACTTATGGAAAAAAAAATAAATCTTCCATGGACTCAATATGCCTCTCAGCAGATAGCTTAGCGTGTCTACTTTCCGAAAAGGGGTCATTTGGGGGTGTTTGTACTATCCTGGTATTTTAGCACCTCAAGAAATGTGATGGGCAGTCAAAAAGTAAAAGCTGTGTAAATTCCATTATCTATACCGGGTGTCAGCAACCCGCGGCTCCAGAGCCGCATGCGGCTCTTTTTCACCTTTGCTGCGGCTCCGGAGCACACTGCCCACCAGGTGAGAGGCAATAGGGTTGCCGTAGCTCAGTGGTTGGCAAGCTGTGGCTATTTATACATTTTAATGCGGCTCTTCTGTGTGCCGGGCACCCGCTCCCCTCCCTCCTCTCGGGCGGCCACCCCAAAAGTCAGGACTCTGCAGCTAGCCCAGCAATGGGCAAACTACAGCCCGGCGGACCTTTTAATCCGGCCCGTGGCAAACATTGGCTGTCAGGATGTAGGCGGGGCAGCGTGACGAACCCCTCTCCTCTCACAGTCCGCCCTGAAGACCGGAACGGCGTGGGAACACGGCGAGAGGAACGCGCAGAGCAAAGGTAAGTGAATTGACACAATATGGGGAATGAATTACTATAGGGGGAATGAATTACTATAGGGGGGATGAATTACTATATGGGGGATGTATTTTCAGTTTTAAAAATGTGGCTCTCAAAATAAATTTAAATCGTGGTTTTGGCGAGATTTGGCTCAGTTGAAAAAAAAGGTTGCCCACCACTGACCTAAGGCTATGATTGTGATTATGACGATACACTGTGGCCCTGATTAACCCTTTGCTTACTGGTCCCTTAAACCCCCTTCATGACCAGAGCGCTTTTTGCAATATATGCAGTGTCGGATTTGTTTTAAAATGTTGCAATGGTTTTGCGGCTCCCAGTCTTTTTTTCCCTCTCGGAAACGGGTCCAAGTGGCTCTTTATGTCTTAAAGGTTGCAGACCCCTGGTCTATACCATAGTTTGTAGACGCTATAACTTTCACACTAAGCAATAAATATACACTTAATTGGGATTATTTAACCAAAAACATGTAGCAGAATACATTTTGGCCTAAATTTATGATGAAATTTTTGTTTTAATGGATATTTTTTATGACAGAAATGGGAAAATACCATGTTTAAAAAAAAAAAAAAAAAAAAAAAAAAAATCTCAAAACTTTTTTTGTGTATAGTGCCAAAAATAAAAAGCGATTAAATACCACCAACAAAAAGCTCTATTTGTGTGAAAAAAGGACATAAATTTAATTTATGTGCCATATTGCATGACTGCGCAATTGCAGCGCTGTATAGCAAAAAATGGCGTAAATTGCAGCACCTATACCATAGTTTGTAGACGCTATAACTTTCACACACTTATACACTTATTTGGATTTTTTTACCAAAAACATGCAGCAGAATACATTTTGGCCTAAATTTAAAATTAACTATATATTTTTTATAGCCGAAAGTAAAAAAATATAATTTTTCTTTAAAATTTTTGGTCTTTTTTGTTTATAACACGAAAAATAAAAGGTGCACAGGTGATCAAATACCACAAAAAGAAAGCTCTATTTGTGTGAAAAAAGGATGTAAATTTTGTTTGGGTACAGCATTGCACGACCGCGCAATTATTAGTGCAGCGCTGAGTAGCAAAAATAGACCTGTTCATTAAGGGGGGTAAATCCTCAGGAGGGCAAGCGGTTAATCGCTTACCTACCACCCTATAGCAGAACTACTGCAGCAGGGCTGCGCAAAATCACGTGTATATATATGTGCATGATTTTGCATTTCTGAGTAGGGGGCACGCGCAGTGCTTTTTTTTAGCACTGATCACTGTATTAGTGTCAGTGGGGATGCCAGTGGCAGTTAGTTCCCCCCAGTGTCAGAATGCCTGCCGCAGTTCCGCAATAAGTTGCCGATTGCTGCCATTACTAGTATAAAAAAAAAAGAAAATTCAAAATTCCAGTATATATGCCACAATTTTTAGACGCTATAACTTTCACGTAAACCAATTAATTTACATGTATTGCAATTTTTTTTTTAGCAAAGACATGTAGCAGAATACATTTTGCCTTAAATTTATGAAAAAATTAGATTTTTAAATTTTTTTTACAGGACATGTTTTGGGTTTTTTTTTTTCAAAATTGTCATTCTTTTTTTGATTTATAGCGCAAAAAAAAAAAAAATGTAGAGGCGATCAAACACCACCGTAAAAATAGCTCCATTTGCGGGGAAATAAAAAAGGACATAAATTTAATTTGGGTGCAGCACTGCATGACCACGCAATTGTCAAAGTAACACATCGCCATATCACAAACAATGGCCTGGTCAGGAAGGGGGGTAAATTCTCTGGAGGGCAAGTGGTTAAAGCGGAGTTCCACTCACTCTGTAAAAAAAAAAAAAATAAATAAAAAAGTCAGCAGCTACAAAAACTGTAGCTGCTGACTTTTAAAGAACAGCCACTTACCTGTCCCACGATCCCGTGTTGCCCCCGTCGCAGCCCGTTTTACCGGCCGTCCTGTATTCCAGGCGCCAGCATCTTCAGTGTGGGCACCCGGCTGTGACAGCTTGTGCCTTCACAGCCGGGTGCCCACTGCGCATGCGCGAGAGTAGTGCTGCGCTTCTTGAATGGCCCCGTCGTCTTTTGGGACCTGTCATGTGTCCCACAAGACTACGGGAAGGGAGGGTAGGACAACTTCCGCTCGCTCCCCTTAACGGGGAGTAGGGGATCAATCTTTAAAGTGGAACTTCCCCTTTTGGGGGGAACTCCGCTTTAAGCACATTTGCAAGAAACATATGTGTATGTATGAATGTAAGTTAGGGACCTTAGATTGTACGCCCTTCGGGGGTTAGGGATTGATGTGAATGTACAATATATATGTAAAGTGCTGCATAAATTGACAGCGCTATATAAGTACCTGAAATAAATAAAAAAAAAACACAGCTTGGATGTGTTTGTGAATTGTTTTTCTCTCCTTCCAAGAGAAAGGTGTTTAGAAGATCCCGCAGTGCATGGCACCTCACAGTACATGGTTGTTGGTGGATCTAAAGCAGATTGTACAATCAGATTGTAACATGTGGTGACATCATATACTGTGTGCTGATAACACCAGACACAGCAAAGTTCACTCCAAGTCAGAAATGGCTGCTAGCCCAGGATGATGGCTCGTCCTCCTAAATCCAGGCTCATTACTAACACGAATGGCCCAATTATTCCCCCTGGAATGTAATTTGGTATCAGACGTCCTCCATCCAGGACAACGATGTCACAGAGCTTCTATCATCACAGAATTCGCCCACCGTCAGCGCACAGAATCGCGTACACTACGTACCTGTTGGCTCCGGTGACTACTACAACCTTCCTCATCTCACTGACAACCGGCTCCCCACTGTCAGCTACTAATTATTGGAAGCCACCTCTATAGCAATACACTATGGGCGGGGCCACACGTAAGAGAAGCCTCTTCATCCAATCCCGGGCTGGGTTCCTCCTTTTTCACACGGGACCCTTTCTTCCCGATGAATGAGATCGCGTAAGTCTCAGCTTCCGGTAGGCGTGCCCAGTGCTACACGACGGAGTGTTTGTGAGGCGAGGATCGCACGATGGGCGTGGCTTACTATGGTAATCAGCGGTAGGACGATTCTATGGGTGAAGGCAGGAGAGCTTTGGCTTTGTAGCCTGTAGTGGCAGACGATGTGGGCGTGGTTTGTGTTCGGCGACGGTATGTGGAAAGGTGGAGTATAGGAGGGGGCTAGTTGATATTATAACACCGTCTTCTGCGCATGTGCGCGGCTCTGTGTGCGGGAACCTAGAATAAACCCCTCACAGGAGAGCTCAGCACACTGAGCCGAGAGGAGGACGAATACCCGCTTCGTGCTGCCACGACTCATGGTGGGAATGGAAGGCGTACTGGATGTTACTGTAAATACTTTAACCACTTGCCCTCCAGAAGGTGTACCCCCCTTCCTGACCAGGCCAATTTTTTGTGTTACGGTGCTGTGTTACTTTAAGTGACAATTGCGCGGTCATGCAACACTGCATCCAAATGAAATTTACGTCCTTTTTTCCCCACAAATAGAGCTTTCTTTCAGTGGTATTTGATCGCCTGTGCGGTTTTTACTTTTTAAAAAAAGCAACAATTTTGAGAAAAAAAATACAGGTGTACGAACACCTCAATTAACGTAATATTTGGTTTACAAATGAAAATCCATTGAAAATAATGCTTACGAATTGTTTTTGCAATATGAAGTGTATGTCGGTGACAATTTTTATTGCAATTGCCGCTTTTTTTTTTTTCTTCACTATAGTTTACAGGATTAGCTGTCTCTTTCCCTGGAGCTAAAGGATACTTTGTTTCTTTTATCTCGGGAAACAAACTAATGCAGGCCATAGACGAATCGAAAACCAGACGTTTTTTTTTTTAAAAAAAGAAAAATCGGTCGTTCAATAGGCCGACGTTACCACCAATGGTAAAACTTTTTGTCCCGTCTACGGCCGGCATTTACTTCTGTCCCTTGCAGAGAGCTCCGCTATTATGTTTGACATGAAAAAGTATTGTGGTTGCAACAATGTATCCATTTCAGATACAGATGTTTTTATTCGGATACAAATAGATACATTGTTGCAACCGCAAGACTTTTCATGTCAAATATAATAGCGGACTGGAATTCTTCTTTTTCTCCTCCTCCTCTTCCTCCTCCTCCTTCTTCTTCAAAAATCGGCCGGTCAGCAAAATCGGACGTTTTTTTGCCAACTTCAATGATAAAAAAAATGTGCCAAAACCCCGAAAAACGGCTGACCAATTAACCCAATAACGGTATGAAAATCAGACGATTTTTTTTTTTTTTCGGCCAAAAAATCGACCCGTCTATGGCCTGCATAAAAGGAAACCTTGTTTCTTTTAGCCGGGGGGAAGTGACATCTGATTCTCTGAGCTATAGTGAAGAAAAAAAAAATCCGGTAATTACATTTAAAAACCGGCACTGACCTATAGTGACAGCGACTTTTTAAAAACTTTTTTACGACCTCGGGAACGGATTAATTGGTTTTTAATGCATTCCTATGGGAAACCACATTTCAGTTTACAAATGTTTTGCAATACGAAATGTACCGGAGAACGCATTAAATTCGTAAACCGAGGTACACCTGTATTTTTGACTTTTTGCTATTAAACAGGTCCAGTAAAAAAATTTAAAAAATCAAATTTCGTCATAAATTTAGGGCAAAATATATTCTGTTACATGTCTTTGCTAAAAAAAAATTCAATACGTGTAAATTAATTGGTTCACATGAAAGTTATAGCGTTTACAGATGGCGGTATAGATACTGGAATTTTTTTTTTTATACTAGTAATGGTGGCAATCAGCGACTTATAGCAGGACTGCAGCGGGCATTCTGACACTGGGGGGAACTGACTTGGTGTCACTGACATCCCCAGTGACACCAATACAGTGATCAGCGCTAATAAAAAGCACTGACACTGTGCTAATGACACTGGGCAGGAAGGGGTTAACATCTGGGGCGCTCAAAGGGTTAACTGTGTGTGTTTCGCTATGGGGGCTGTGTGTTTGCTTTCCACTGTAAACACACTACTACTTGTATGGCTCTGCTATGCAAAGCAGTGTGCTGGAGCTGACAGGAGAGAACTGTATTGTTTACATACAGTTCTTTCCCCTGTCAGTAATCACTGGCCGGGACCTGCTGATTGAAAGCCAAGGTCGTGCATGGCGGTGCGAGTAGGGCACTAGTGCGCACCTCCTACCCGGAAATGCTGAATTACGTATATATACGTGATTTTGTGCACCCCTGTTGCCTTGTAGCAATATTTCTGCTATAGGGCGGCGGGAAAGCAGTTAAAGGGTAACTCCACTTACTTAATAGCAATAGTTTACAATTGCTACACAAGTCATATTGTAATTGAATGTTTTTAAAAAATGACCTTTCCTTTCTAACCTGTAGTGCTGTAAAATGCAATTTTTCTCCTACATGCCATAGACATGCTGGTAGATTACTTGGCTCCTGTCTAAAAATGGCCCTAGTATGTGTATGTATGAATGTGAATTGGGGACCTTAGATTGTATGCTCCATGAGAGTTAGGGACTGATGTGAATGTACAATATATATACATGTAAAGTGCTGTGTAAATTGATGGAAGTACCAATAATAAATAAATAAAATGCAATATGGCTACCTGGAGGCTTTCTGTGTACAGATAATGTACAGAACGCCCCCTAGAAATGTAATTTCCTGCTTGTGTGATTGGCATACTGATTTTCCCACAAGTCTGCACTATTAATATTATTATTATTACATCGAGTTTATATAGCGCCAAAGGGTTTGCTCAGCGCTGTACAATAGAGGGGGGGACAATACATGAAACAGTACAGCAACTACAAACAGCACACGAGGGGTTAGAGGGCCCTACTCTTTCGAGCTTACAATCTTGAAGGGAGGGGGTAGTGGTACAGGAGGAAATGGCTGTGGGGGATGGAGTGGTAGGAGCAATGAAGGAGAACTTAGATACATATCATACATACATGCACTAAGATGCATATCAGATTTTAGGCATCCCCTGCAACAAAAATGTCATTTTTAGTGAGATATTCCCAGGGGGAAATCATGTCTAAGGAATGCAGACCCTGCCAATGTCCTCATTAGAGCCCTGCAGGTTCAGCAGCTGAGAAATAATTATAAAACCATTCACATTTACTCTGCACATGGACACAGACAAACTTATCATATTTATTATTAAATAGGATTTCTATAGTGCCAAACTGTTTGCGCAGTGCTTTGCAATCTAAAGGGAGACAATACAGCAACGATACAGCTCAATACAAGAGGGCTCTTTGTAGCTTACAATCTAAGAGGCAGGGGCTGGTAATAACTGTGGGGGATGAACTGATAGAAGAAATAGAAGATTCAGTTATTAGCTGATGGCAGGATAGGCTTCCCAGATAAGATAGGTTTTAGGGGATCGCCTGAAAGTGGACAGAGTAGGAGATGGACAGATTGGGGTAGAGAGTTCCAGAAGATGGGAGAGGCTCTGGAGAAGTCCTGGAAATGATTATGAAGGGAGGAGACAAGGGAGCTAGAGAGCAGGAGGTCATGGGAGGAGCGGAGAGGACAGTTTGGGCGATATTTGGAGACAAGATTGGTGATGTAGTTTGGGGTGGAGTTGTAAATGGCTTTGTATGTTACTGTTAATTATATTAATTTTATTCGTTGGAGGGATTGGCAGAGAGGGGTGACGGACACGGAACAGTTCGTAAGGTGGAAGAGTCTGGCAGCAGTATTCATGATAGACTGAAGAGGAGGTAGCCTGCGATTAGGTAGGCCAATGAGGAGGGAGTCACAAAAGTCAAGGCGAGAGATAACAAGGGAGTGAATGAGTTGCTTAGTGGTTTCAATGGTTAAAAAAGGGGCGTGTTTTAGAAATGTTACAGAGGAGAAGTTTGCAATATTTGGACAGTGATTGGATTTGGGGCTGAAAGGACAGGTCAGAGTCCAGGATTGCACCTACCATCTTGGCATTAGGGGAGGGACTGATGGTTTTATTATTTATCTTGATGGAGAAGTCAGTTATTTCTTCAAAATAACAAAAGATAGGAATCCGCAGCAAAGTTTGTTAAAATCCCTGCAATGTACATAGATCACACAGGTGGGAAAAAATGTTTCTTAACCACTTCCTGTCCGGGCACTTTTACCCCCTTCCTGTCCAGGGCAATTTTCAGCTTTCAGCGCTATCACACTTTGAATGACAATTGCGCGGTCATGCAATACTGTTCCCATATGAATTTTTTACCATTTTTTTGAGACAGATAAAGTTTTATTTTGGTGGTATTTATTCACCGCTGGGATTTTTATTTTTTTTACTATGTAAATGAAAAAGTCCAAAAATTTTGAAAAAAAGTGTTTTTTTTTTATAAAATTTTGCAAATAAATAATATTTCATCCTAAATCTTGGCCAAAATTTATTCCGTTATTTTTTTAGTAAAAAAAAAAATCCAAATTAGTTTATAACCAAAAATTATAATTTTTAAACATTTTTTTTTTTTACATTTTTATTTTATTTTTTTATATTATTATTTTTATTTTTTTTTTTTTTTTCACATACTGTCACCCTAGCAGTACAGTGTCACCATGGTGACACTGTACTACTTGTGGGGGGTGATGAAGATTTTTTTTTTTTTTTTTACACTGCTTGCTTTTACACCCATATAGGATGTAAAAGCAATCATTTCTCTTTCTCTCTGTCTGCATTCTTGCAGTCATTGAGAAATACTGAGTGAGCTGTGATTGGTCACAGCTTGTCACATGGTACAAGGCTGTTGTGAATAGCCTTGTACCATGTGACCTCTGTGATCATT